TCGTCAAGCGAGGTGGACAAAGCTCGTGGGTAATATGGACCGGGGGGGCCAATATTCTCGCAAGCTTCTCATTTCCAAAGAAGCAGACACAATTGCCAACGTTCAGGTCCATTATCATACATATGAAGGGGCCAGAAAAAGGGATAAGAAAAAGGTAAACATGGCACCATCGTACCCTGTACAACTCGATGATTTCAAAAGATACAGCTGAGCATCTACCATGACCAGCACAGTCATCAACATTCCTGCACCCTGCTACACATACAACCAGTCTGCATATCAGGAAACATGTCCAAGAATACACCCTTTGCAATGCTTCGTCGTCAAGACCTTCCAGGTGAAGTCACCAGTCATATTCATCTAGCACTACATTAATACGCGTCAGCAATAGCATCTACACACAAGACCAACACTGCCCAACAAGTCATCAACACCAGAAGATGGAAACACCGCCGCCGCCCTTTACGGCGCTCGAGGCATTCAATTTCCCGTTGGCACGGACAGCATCCTCATATCCTTCGCCGCAAAACATATATACGCTCGGCTCACCCTGCACATCCCACCATTCCCAACTTGCCACTTTGAGACGATCCAAAAGATGATCCAAAACAAACGTATATCACAAATGGCAAAAAGATTCACCCGCATGGAATTACAACAAAGCCAACGTACATTGTAGTTACGAGTGAGAACAAGCGATGCCCGAAACCAAACCCGACTCCCAACACCGATACCCAATCACAGTTAAAAAAAAGCACTCAGCGTAGTTGATTATGCCCATTCCAGGAAACCCCCGAGCGGGAAGCCTCTCGGGTGTGATGGAGTACAGTGTCGTTTTGCAACCTCGGAATCAAATATACCTCCCATCCATTGTAGGCCGCACCAGACAATGGGTTGTTCCAAGTTGCAGATACTTGACATCCAATGAAGTGAGTGGCCCAAGGAGGCAAGCGGTTTTCACGCTCCAAATCCACAAATTCATACTCTGCGGTTCTGGCCTGCCTTTGTCCATTCCTTGTTGATACAACCAAAACCTTGACCTGAAATGCATTTTGACGCCTAATCAAGACGAAAAAGGCTTCAAGCAATTTCTCGGTCCAAAATGTTCCAACATGTGGCGCCAAGTGGACTTGGCCAAAGACATGTCCCACCATCAAACACACGACACATGACACATGCCTCAACTTATCAAAAGGACGAGTGCATCGTTCTACATAATCTCCAATGGCAAATTTCATACGTACGGCCCATCATTATGTAGCACATGTAGAGCACACGGCCCACCCATACATGTTCGGCTGGAATATACAACTACGCACAACACGTGGCACATGTCACTTGCCAATATGAAGCATATATTCCCTCATCAGGTGTTTCTTTGGTCTCTAGCTGCTATCTATCACAGCCGTAGCAAGTCATACTTGCTGGTCTAATATCCCCAAATTCAATGGTAAATGGCTAACCCCCTCCGCTTTTCCATTGCTTCCCGTACGACTGACTGACTTGCACAAGCTCGGCCAGAGAAACACGGGGAATAAAAAGATGTTGAAGTTCTTCTTCAGTCCCCCAAACGCCGGTAAGCACGCTTCTCTAAAGTTTTTGCCCTGGTAGGGGTATCATAATGCAAGTCTCTTTTTGACGATTTGCTTTCGCCTCACAAATGCAGGTGTCCCAAAAGTGTCTTTGTTGAAAGACGCCGCCACTCCATTCCCAAAATAAAACGTCATGAGAGTGGTCTTCGTAACAACAAAAAAATAGGTTTTCAGAAACGAAGAGCTGGAAAACAAAAATAAAATTTCAGATGCCAGAAACCGCCCGTCCCCACGTCCCGTGGGGGGAGATTACATGGTTTCGTTGAGAACCGTACGCCGCCAGAGTGTGCATAAAAATGCCAATTATAACACATCGTAAGATTGGATAAGTGATAAATAGAAGGGTTGTTGAATTCCTTCCATACATTGTCCTAGGATGCAAAAAGGTGCAACTTAGAACTTGAGCTGCTTGGGCTGCTCCCAGCTGAATGACTGGTTGGTGCCGAAGTGGCCGTTCTTGGCGGTCTGCAGGTAGATGGGGCGGTCCAGATTAAGCTCGCGGACAATAACACCGGGGCGCAGGTCAAAGTTGTTGCGGATGATCTCAACGAGCTGGTCAGAGGTCTTCTCGGAGGTGCCGTAGGTGTCGACGTAGATGGACAGAGGCTCCGCAACACCAATGGCGTAGGAAAGCTGGACAAGAGCGCGGCGGGCGAGACCGGCATTGACCAGGGACTTGGCAATCCAGCGACCGACATAGGCAGCAGAACGATCGACCTTGGAGAAATCCTTGCCGGAGAAGGCACCGCCACCGTGGGCACCCCAACCACCGTAGGTGTCGACAATGATCTTACGGCCAGTCAGACCGGCGTCACCCTGAGGGCCGCCAATGATGAAGAGACCAGAGGGTTGGATCTGGGGATAGTTGGTCAGCCAGCGACTCAAAACATCTTGAGCTGTTTTGCGATGAGAAAACTTACGTGGTAAATGGTGTTGTCGTCGAGGTACTTGGCAGGGATAGTCTTCTTAATGATGTTTTCAAGAATCTGCTTGCGGAGCTCCTCAGTGGTAATGTCGGCAGAGTGCTGGGCAGACACCACCACGGTGTGGACACGGACGGGGACAACGGCGCCGTTGTCGTGCTTGTACTCAACAGTGACCTGGGTCTTGGTATCGGGGCGCAGCCAGGGGAGAGAGCCGTCGCGGCGGGCAGCAGACATGGCAGCGTTGAGCTTGTGGGCGAGCTGGAGGGTGAGGGGGAAGAGCTCAGGGGTCTCGTCGGTGGCATAACCGAACATGATACCCTGGTCACCGGCACCGAGCTTCTCGAGGGCCTCCTCGTAATGCAGGCCCTGGGCGATATCAGGAGACTGCTGCTCAATGGCAACAAGCAAGTTGAGGGTCTTGTAGTCGAAACCCTTCTCAGAGTGGTCATAGCCAATGTCCCTGATGGCGTCGCGGACAATCTTCTGGTAATCCAGCTTGGCCTTGGTGGTGATCTCACCAAACACCATGATCATACCAGTCTTGGTGGCGGTCTCGCAAGCGACCTTGGACAGGGGATCCTCAGCCAAGCAGGCATCGAGGATAGCATCAGAGACCTGATCAGCGATCTTGTCGGGGTGACCCTCACCGACAGACTCGGACTATAGGTTGTGTTAGTTACCAGCCTCGGGCGCCATATCAACAGTGTTTGCGTCTTTTTTTTCTTTCTTTCTTCATTTCTCCTTGCAAGAGGAGGGGCAAATAGGTTGCCAAACGATTTGAGCACGGGCCATTCACTTACGGTGAACAGGAAGGTACCCTGAGGGCTAGATCCGTTGGTGCCGTTGACGCCAGGCATTTTGTGTATGTTGTAGGAGAAGATGAGGGAAAGAATGAGAGGGCAAACAAAATCCAAGAGTTGGCCGAGACGAAAGGTCTGTGTGACTTCGACAGCGGGCCCGAAGGAAATAACTGCGAAGAGCAAGTTTCAAAGTCAGCAATTGATTATTCTCTTGGGAGGCGCAAGCCGCAATATGTTAGGCAGCAGTGCAATTGACGGGTTCGCATACCACTACGAGGTGACACTCAGGAGCTGACAGGCGGAGGGGGAAACTGGTGTAAGACAGGATGGGAGAAGGAAGAGAAGGGAAAGGAGGAGAGATTTTATGCCGACAATTTTCTGAGGGGGGCCGCTCGCAGTTGCATGCGCTGCGAGCCGAAATGGTGGTTGGAGGGGCAGCCCAGCAAAAAAAATTGGCAGGGCGGGATGTTATCGGCACAAAGGAGGAGCTAGGGTCTGGGCTGCGATGTACATGAGACTTTACATTAGGCCACACGCATGTGCAGGTACCCCCGAATACGACTGCTAACAGATTGCTGGGCGCTGGCCGGATGCGATGAGGGGCAGCGACGGCCGCCACCTTTTCGGACCAAATTGCGCCATCTCGGAGCCAGTAAGCGTGGGCAGCGTCCAGCAAAACCCAGTTGTTGCACGTCACCCCTGGCTGGAGATGGCACATGTACAGTTACACGTATATGATATAAATGCACGCAAGTACCCTATTCTTGTGAGTTTTGTCCCAAGTACTCCGTACTGGCCGCGAAACTACTTTTACGACTAGTAGCAATTGTGTCGGTGTTGCATGATCAATCTCGCTCGGTTGCCGTAATTTGGCCCCCTCCCCTCGAGCACCTCTGAGACCCCGACCAACGCCATCCTTCTCCGTTGCGCTCCAGCCCAGGCCAGCCGCATATGTCCCCCCAGTCTCTTCTCGCAGATGGACAACGTGTCTACTGGTCAGTTTTGGCGCAATAGTTTCTCCGACTTGTTTGAGCTCCGACAGCCGCTCCGACGAACTGTCGCTGGCATAGCATGGTCGGCGCTTTCGTTTTCGCGGCACCACACTGCTTTCGGCGGGAATCAGAAAGATTGGAATTTTGTCCGAGACATCGGGTGCTTGAGCTCAAGTTTAGAATCCGGTCTCGCAGGGTTGATGTGCCTGGTATGCTTGGCAGACACTTCGGAGACTTAACCTACTACATACAAACTTCGGAGACTAACTTGCAATAAAATATCGAGGTGCTCTGTACGGAGTAGCGTCTGCGAAATGTGACGCCGCGTGTCTCTGATTTTGGCACATTGCAGACCAATAGACGATGGCGCCAGCCCGCCCGACCGACTTTTGCTTGCCAGCCGCCTGCCCAGGTCAAGGCGCTCTCAACTTGTATTTCGCCAGGCTAGTATTCCGTAGTAGTAGTACTTGGCAAGTCAAAAGCGCCCCCCACATGCACTTGACGTCAAGTTGTCAAGTGGCCTGTGGGCTGCAGCTCCAGAAAAAAAATTGTGAGCTACCACAGACAACCAGAATACTAGCAGCAAGAATAACCGCCGGCTCTACACGGCCTCATCTCGCCTCAGACAAAGGGAAACATTGGTAGGCTTCTCGCTGCTGTCTGTCGATTAGGCGGTAGCGCTTCACCACCATGAGCAAGTTTGGCGCCATGATCATGGGCCCCGCGGGGGCAGGCAAGGTAAGACGAATAAGCAACAGTCGGCTAGCTGCCAGATAGACGTCGCCTTTTCGAAAACACCGAATTCTAAGCCCTCCGCTCACACGCACGCAGTCCACCTTTTGCGCCGCCCTCATTACCCATCTCCAGCTCAACCGCCGTTCCGCCTTCTACGTCAACCTCGACCCCGCGGCCGAGACTTTCGAGCACACGCCCGACCTCGACATTAAGGAGCTCATCTCACTCAAGGATGCCATGGAGGAAGTCGGCCTCGGCCCCAACGGCGGCCTCATCTACTGCTTCGAGTTTCTCATGGAGAATCTGGACTGGCTCACCGAGGCACTGGACAACCTGACAGAAGAATATCTCATCATCATCGACATGCCCGGCCAGATTGAGCTCTACACGCACATCCCCATCCTGCCGACCCTAGTGAAATATCTGTCGCAACCTGGATCGCTGGATATTCGCATGGCCGCCGTGTATCTCCTCGAGGCCACCTTTGTGGTCGACCGGGCCAAATTCTTCGCCGGAACTCTGAGCGCCATGAGTGCCATGCTGATGCTCGAGGTCCCCCACATCAACGTCCTCTCCAAAATGGATCTCGTCAAAGACCAAGTCAAGAAGAAGGATTTGAAGCGCTTCCTCACACCCGACGTGGGTTTGCTGGAGGACGACCCCGTGGAGCGCGCCAGGCGAGTCACCGAGGGTCCCGAGGGCGACGACGAGTCACAGAGACCCGACGATAGTGAACAGATTATGAAGGGCGCGAGTTTCCGGCGGTTGAATCGTGCTGTGGCAGGCTTGATTGAGAGCTTCAGCATGATTAACTACCTGAAGCTGGATGTGACAAACGAGGACAGCGTAGGCGCCATTCTGAGCTATATTGATGATTGTATCCAGTTCCACGAAGCCCAGGATCCCCACGAACCCAACGACGAGGACGATGAGGTCGAAGACGAAGAGTGATCGCTGCTTATTGACCCCCTTTTTTTGCAGTTTTTTCTTTTTGGAGTACCAGCATAGCGACGGCGTTTAGGTTCCTCACAAACCCAAAGTTGATAGCAAGAAAACAAAGTCATGATATTTTGCGCCAGTATCAAACCGTAAGCGTGACCAAAAGGCCCAGAAGATGCCGCCCATGCAAGCACAAACAAGAAAATCAAAAACACCATCCAATATCGGCATCATTCCCATTTCTACATACAAAGATTAGCGCCAAAACGTCCCGTCACATCCCCAACAAGTTATATTTCCACTCAAAACCCACCCCCGTTTCCGTCCATCATCACCTCCCCCTCCCTGTCCTCGCGCCGTGACCGCTACTCCTCCCCTCCCTCGCCTCGTACCGCTCATACTCCTGCCACCAAAAGTCCCTCAAGACGGCCAGATACCCGACGACCCTGCCCCCGAGCACGGCGGCGTCCCTCGCGCTCTCCATGACGCCCCTGTTCCACACCCAGGCCAGCAGCACCACGGCCGCGCTCCAAAACACGACCCGCACCACCAGCCGCGTCCACCACAGGACCAGCCTCCGTATCCAATTCATCACCACCACCGTGGCCGTCACCACGCACAGCAGCGCCACGAGCCCCGTCACGCCCTGGTTCTCGACGGCCACGGCCAGCACCTTGTCCGCGAGCGGCCGCACGACGGGCGCCAGCGACGCGAGCCACGTCTGCACCTGCGCGGCCGCCGCCTGCTTGTATATCTGGAAGGGGGCGCGGGGGTTGAGCAGGTGCGTGCGCACAGAGAGCGCGAGGTCCGGCGGCAGCAGTTCCGTTAGGAGGCGGGACGTTAGCGACGCGTCCATTATTATTATTTTTCTTTGTTTCTTCTTTTCTTCAAGCAAGTCGAGACGAAAGGGAGTAGGGTGAGTTTTCGATTTCTTTTTCAGACGGGAGGGTGTTTGGCGGGAAGCCGGTGTGCTTTGTGTTTGGTATGGCTTTTTTTTTAGGGAGTGTATACGTTATCATTTTGGAGAGAAGACCAGACCCTTTTCCCGCCATCGATAAGCGTGGATGCGGTGTGGTTGGTTGGTTTGGGGGGGGGGGGGGGGGGGGGGGGAGCTGGTTTTGTCGTGTGGGGGGGGGGGGGGGGGGCTGGAGGAAGCTTGTTTTGCCATGTGCTTGGTTGGCGTTGCGGCAAGGCCTGACCGTGGATAATGTGGCACCGCGTTGCACAACGCCAATCGGCGTGCTGGCAACTACAAATGGAGCTTCCGCACGTTCCCGCGTCGTCGGTGGAGTTCGAACCCATGGTGGTTCTGAAATTTCCATTCATCATAAATCATTGAATTCTGCTACAAATATGTGCGCTATTCTACTGTAGGCAAATAGGCAAGAATTGCTGCCCCCCCAGCCAGACGCAAATACAGAAAGGGTATCTTGGTGGGAGGGCGGGGGGGGGGGGGGGGGGGGGGGGGGGGCTGGAGGAAGCTTGTTTTGCCATGTGCTTGGTTGGCGTTGCGGCAAGGCCTGACCGTGGATAATGTGGCACCGCGTTGCACAACGCCAATCGGCGTGCTGGCAACTACAAATGGAGCTTCCGCACGTTCCCGCGTCGTCGGTGGAGTTCGAACCCATGGTGGTTCTGAAATTTCCATTCATCATAAATCATTGAATTCTGCTACAAATATGTGCGCTATTCTACTGTAGGCAAATAGGCAAGAATTGCTGCCCCCCCAGCCAGACGCAAATACAGAAAGGGTATCGAACATGTCGCAAAACAAAAGAAAATGTACATTCATCGTCAAAAAGAAACAAACATGGTTTCCAGTCAGCCATTTCAACGAAAATCGACATATATATATATTTGCCACCCCGTAATCATTTGTCCCGTCTCAACTCCCGCAAAATCATTTCATCAGCGTCGTAGGTATAGAACATATGATTAGTATTACGGAGACACTGGTGCTCGGTCGCCAATGCTCTCGAGCAGCTTGCTAGCCGCTTCTATTCTCTCTCTGTATTCAGCATGGTTTCCGGTACCAAGCCGCGTAGCTTCACTCAGACCCAAAACGCATCGTCCCAGATTTGCCACGACTTGTTCCACCAAGACTTGGTCTTCTCGTGAGAGTGTTTGTATCGCAGGAGACTGCGGTCCGCTTCCAGCGCTGTCCTTGTCACATATGCTTCTTGTCTCGTTCATGAGCGACTCGGCGACCTGCTTGAGCGGGCTGTCCGGCGATCCGCTCGGAGTCAAGGCTCCCTGGCTCAGCCTGGCTTTGTTGACAAGGGGAAAGCTCCTATTTGTCCCTGTGGACTCAAACGATGAGACGGACGGACGGTGCAGGGTGGATGACGTGTTCGCACTAACGGGTCGATGAATGACTGAGTTGTAGCGAGCGTGCTTTCGGTAATATCTGGTAGAATCACTGCCGCTACCGCTACCGCTACCGCTACAACTTGGACTGTCCTGGCTGAGCCCGCCAAAAGTCGACCCGGTGGTTGTGGCCGATGGGCTGTCTTCATCCTCGTAATTGGCCGTAGGCGTGACAAACCCATCGTCAGTTCTCGTCGAGCGGCTTACGGAGCTGCGGCTCTCTCTGCCCTCCATGGCAGTTGCAAAAGAGTCGACGGAAGCCAGGGTATCAATGCTGGGTCGTCGTGCGTGCGTCATTGTCGGACCGCGTGTGGTTTCCACAGAGTCTTGAGATCCCTCACTACTCACGCTGTCACGTCTAGCCATCCGCTGCCGGCTAAGAGTACCCATGGCAGAGTGTAGGAAGAAATGTTCATAATCAAACGCGTCTTCTCGATCTTCATGAGAGATATCAGTAGGCTCCTGATGTGTATCATGATAGAGCGATTCGCCGCTTTCGCTAGCATAGTCTGCGAACTCGTCTTGGTCTTGGTCTTCCTGGTCCTTCTCGGGCACGCCATCATTTGGAAGGTGAGCCTCATCCCGCTCGTGGTGACTGTGGCAAGTGGTATTTGGTTCGCCATTCAATGCAGCTGCGTCTGCTGACCTCATCACTTGATGGTGGTCTACGCTCTGTGTTTCCTCATCCTTGTGCGATGCATGCGGGGAAGAAGCGGCCTCCGCACTGCCCGTCAGCTGTGCTTCCGTTTCTTCCTTTTTTATCTCTTCTGGAATCCTATCATTTCCGATCTCTGGCGTATCTGCTTGTTTGGGACTTGTATAATCTTGGTCCCACCTAGCATGTGTAAACGGACTTGGCGCCCTTAAACTCTGCAAGCTACGCCTTTTCATGCTGTCTGCCTGTGCCTGCTGCTTCAAACTGGAGATCTTGCCTTTGAGTCCTTGCATTTGATCCTGCAGGTCTCGCATTTGCGCGGCCGAGGCGGACCGCGTCGTCACACTAGCTTCCATAGGCGATCCATAGGTTGGGCTGCCTAGAGCTACAGCCCGGCTACCAGAGCGACAGTTGTCCTTGTCTTGTGGGCTTTCATCTTCGTCGAGTGGCTCTAGAGCTGAGCCAATAGAGGAGAGAGGAGACTTGAGGGAACTCGAACTGTGCTTGGACCCTAAACCGTCGGCACTCCTGGACAAGGTCAAGTGTTGGCGATAGCCACCAGCTGCACCGAGGGCACTGGCAGATCGTTGAGGGAGCGTAGCCGTGCGCGCAGCCCCCTGCAAGCTGTTCTCGCTCACATTCCTCGAGTGTGTTGGAGTAATGGTCTGCGGTCTGTCGTGAATCGAGCCATTCGGGTGAGCACCGGGAGGCGGGGTAGAACATTCAGACATAGATGAATAACTAAACGTCATGGCCCTATTAAGGTTGCCTTCCATAGTCTAGAGACCAAATTAGCAAGTCACCTTCACACTCAAGGGATGGAAAGTTGGAAGTGTTTTGTGCCAATATTCCTTTTCTCTTCTCTTCTCCTCTCTTTTCTTTCTTTCTTTCTTTTTTTTTGGAAAGGCCTACATACCAGAAGGCGATGCTTGGCATTGGCAAGAATCTGTTCAGCTCGTTTGCTGATCGAGTTGGTAGAAAGTCTATGCTCATTCGGTCCGTGTCCAGATGGCATTATCGCAGCACTGGGGGGTTGAACGGACGTTTCATCCACGAATTCGCTTGCCAAACTCTCCTCATCATCTCCTTGGAAATCGCTATCATCGACACTAACCGAGTCATCAATGTCGTCAAAGGTAGCTTCTGGGCTGTCGATGGTGTGAACGGTGCTCGTGGATTCAATTGAGAGTCGGCGGTCGCGCCTCGCAATATTGTGTTTCTTCTTGAGCGTTCTCTTTCCCATTGTCGGGGAGGAGCGTAGAGGTGTGCCGCTACTGGTGCATGGGGTACCAGACAAGCCGGAAGAATTGCGACTCGACGGGTGGCCAACCGTACTTTCGACTTCAGTCACCTCACCAATATCCGAGAGCATCGTGCCATTGCCGTATATGATGGGCGTCGTGGGGGGGAGTGGTCCAGAGACATAGCCAGCCTGCGAGAAATCGTGAAAGTCATGGGGGGGATGCGCATTATTCCACGTCACCAGTGGTGAGTGGGATCGGTCGTCGAGATGCTCCGGTTCGTCGTAGTCTGGGAGAATCATGTCTGGATTCGTCAACGTCGGCGAACCTGGCTGAGGTCGGTAGGATAAATTCGCAGCTGCGAAGGCATCGTAGCGACTGTCACGGCCCGCGTGGACCATTGTGTGGGCGGTCATGGTTGACTACCTAGGTATTACGGAGTGAATGCGCGACAAGGAGTGGCGCCGGTTGAGTCAGTTGAGCTTCCAAGGCCGATTAAAGTCTAAATGGGTTGGATTTTGCCGGGCCAAGCATGAGCACAGCAGCCAGGTGCCTCCAACTACTCGGGTACCTCGGTGAAGCGATGCTCTTATACGACGCAAGCTCTGAAGGTCTCAATAACGAACGTCGAAGGTACCCAAAGGAGACACGAGAAGTAAAACGGCCAGAGGACCGGGGCAAACTGTCGGGAAAGTCTGCGGTCACCTGCACCAGGGCCGGTTACACTGGCCACAAGCGCGACTGCAGGTCTTGAATGCCAGACACCATGAGACAAAATCGCACAAGCGGTTTTGAGAGTTCAAGTTCGCTATCGGAGCAAGTTGGGAACTTTGGAAAGGTTTTGCGATTTGCGACAGGTGGGAGAAAAGTGAGCTCGGTGACAGGCCACGGTCTCCTAAAGGGTGTTCCCAGTTGATGTCGAAATGAAGGGTGGTTAAGGGTGTTCGACGGGCCGCCAGGGTAGATGGCCCAATGTCCGTCCCCGAAAATGTCAAGTTTGAGGACAGATGCAGCCAGAGCAAAAGATCATGATGGGAGAAGAGAAGGTGGGAAATCGGAAGGCGGTGGTGAGGTTGCTGCAGAAGACCGAGAAGTCTGGTGGTTCTTTTTCTTTCTCCGTTCAAACCATCGGGGTCAAGCCGCCACACCACCTTGAGCAGCGTCAATGCCGAGTACGTAGGTAGTATTTATTACTACTATTGTACTAGAAGCACTCAAGACGGACCAAAAGCCCAGCCAAATGTCGAATGGTGTGTCCTGGCCAGTCCAAGTGCCTTTGCAACCAGTTGACCTGTGCTAAGCTTGGGTCCCCGGAGTCCTTGGCGACCTGGACAAGCAAAGAGGGTCCGTCGCCTCTACGGAGTAGCTAGACGAGAACTAGGGACGGAAAGGGAAGAGTTTAGGGGGGCCCGGTTCTTAGTTCCCAGTTGGCCTTCATCAGACCAAAACGCCCCGCCCCATGTACCGCTTGGGTCACCTTGGAAGGAGTGGATCGAATGTGTCGGCGCAACATCGAACAAGAATCTGACAGGGGTTGAAGAAACGAATCTTGGTGGCGTCCGAAGGGGGGCCGGCAGCCAAAAGAGACGATGAGATGAGGCCAAACGAAGCGCACGGGGTGGTTTTCCACGGGGTACGGAGTAGGACAGAGGCAGAGGCAGCTACAAAGGCCGTTCACTGTTTGCATGTTTCTCTGAAACACCCCGGGCAGCATTCATCACTTACATAATACGCCGCAGTCACAAACAAGTCAACTGCACATGTGGTCAACTGGTCCGTATTTACTACCATCCTGCAGCTTTGTCCTCGGCCTTCGCCTCCGCCGGAACCCACAGCTTTGACAAGCAGGCTAATACCATGGAAGCGCTCGGGTCTTTTCCTCCAAAGTCTAATAACGAGCCCAGACCTGATTGACGACGGTACTTGCTGGGCCAGATAGTCAGTCTGAGCCGCGAGTCACCGAATGCGCCAGCCACAAAAGTCAATCCCGCCATCCCCAAGTCCACATGAGCCACGCATCCAATGCAGACCTCGCTCCATCTATTTGTCGCTGCATCAACGGCTCAATTTGGCCAAACACGAGAGAATGCATATGTACGAACATATGTATGTACTACTTACTAATACTGCATGATTTTAAGCACGGCACTATATTTAATATTCCGCCATGCCACACTCCCCATCAACTGACCCCTGCAGGCTTTGGCTGCCGCCCCTGGAAATGCGCCAAAGCCAAGAACTCTTCCAGACATGGATCCCGACGTCGGGCCGGGTTTCGAATCTTGGGGATACTCTGTACATCATCTCTCCTCCCGTATTGCACGGGGTACGACATCATCATCCGAGTACATAAAAGAAATGGACGACCGTGCCACGCCCGCAACTGGCACAAGTCGTGGCTTTGTTCACTCGGGCATCCACCCACCACCGCCGCCGCCGCCGTCTGAGCGTCCATTCACCTCCACGTCCCGACAGCATCGTACAATATGTACATATGCCTGTACTTGACAATAATGGTGGTGCAATTGTGGCCGCAAACACTTCAAGCATGACCGTTCGTCCTATCTTGTACGCCTCCAAGCCAAGTTCCATCCCGCCTTTAGTGGTGTGTTTCCACATCATCCCCCGAGAGAGCTGAGGCTATGTCATAATGCGCCCATTCTCAGCATCAACGCAAAAATGCACCTTTTCATGTCGTATGCCGCGTGTCGCTTGCGCATAAACGGAAAAAAGGCGCACAGTCTTCTTTTACGTCCAGGCACCGGCGCAACCGACGGGACATACCGACCCAAATGATTTCTCGTTAATGTGTGGCTGTCTTCATTTTTGGAGCAATACCCAACCATCACTAGATTTCACCAACAGCATCATGTGTGATACAGAAAACACATAAACACGGGCTCATCAACAGAGTAAATGGCATGGAGATGTATTTACCCGTATGATCACGGCTTCAAGTACAAGTTGATATATGTGCTGAAACCCCATGTGAGATTCGATCCGAAAGAACCGGCAGCGCGAAACAATAGGGGCAAAGAGAATGAGTAAGTGCGCTTAGCCCACGATCTCGGAGCTAGGGCCATTGCATTGGGACGCATTTTTGCGTCCCGTCTAGCTCAGCAATAACGAGCACGTAACCAAGGACATCGAGACATGGAAGAAATAGCCATGTCACGGTTAATTTCGCATCAATTCAGTATTAGCATGTCGCCCGTTTTTGTATATATCTGAAAATCCGTCAGGTTCATACAAGGTTTGCCGGCTGTATTTTGAGTTATCATGGAATCCAACCTTCTCCTTTTTATTTTTCGTAACTGCGTCAGGAAATGTAAATGGCCCATCTCCTCTCTCTCTCTCTCTCTCTTTCTCTCTCTATTTTCCTTTTTTTTCAAACTCCCTCTCTCTCCACGTCCACTCCAATGGGATATTAAACTAATCATCAGCAAATGCCTCGGTCTTGGCTTGGATCAAAACCTTGTCGGAGTCATCCTTGGCGGGACGATTGGCAACCAAACGCTACAAATGTTAATTAGTTTGGGTTGTGGTCCTCAATTTTTGCGAAATATTGCTTACCACGAGGTTACGGAGCAAAATGGCAATCGTCACCTTGCCAACAGAAGGAACATAGATCGAGGCCTTCTCCTTGATTGCGGGTCCGTCAAAGTTCCTGTACGAAGAAAAGTTGATGCACACAGCACCATCGCGAATAAGGTCTGTAGGAACCTTGAATGATTCCACAGGAACACCTCCAATGACAACGTCGCTAAGAGGCAGGCAGTCCTTCAATCCCCAGCCCTCCTTGTCCTCGACCTGGTGTCGCGGGCTCTTGATACCCTGACCACGGGTGAATAACTGAACTCCGGTAATATCAACAGAGTATACAGTAGCACCATCATTGGCTAGCAAAGCAGCGAGAGGTCGGCCGTTTACTTCGGAGCGGTTAATGACGGTGATAGTTTTGCCAAACAGGCGATTCCCGGCTGCCAAAATGGGGTTGTAAATCTGAAGATATTCCAAGATCTTAACAACAGCCAGTGGAGTGCATGGCAAAATAGACTTCTTCCGGTTCTCCGGGGGATCCAGGAATCGGATATTGTGATACATGTTGTAAAGATACTTGTGGCGCATACCCTCGACATCTTTGGCAAGCTCTACAGTCTCCTGGACGTACTTGTCATGTGTGGGGTTCTGGGGGAAGATAGGATAGTAAACGATGATGCCGTCAACAACGTCATCTTCATTGGCTTTCGTGATCTCCTCCTCGAGAAGATCTTTTTCAACAGTGCGAAGGTCAAAGTTGAAACCACTGTTGAAGGACGTCAGCGTCTACAGGTCATCACCTTGGGATGCAAAACATATCCTGCTCTACTCACTTCTCCTCGCAAGTCTTTTTTGACCACTGGGCGTACTGAACCGCAGCGGGATCACCGTTTGCCAAGAAGGCAACAAGCGTCGGTGCTTTGGGGTTGCCTCCCTGGACTTTGGCCAGCGTCTCTTTGACTTCGGTCAAGAGATTCTTAGCAATGGTCTCTGCAGTAATGACCTTGCAGGTCTTGGGAACTTCTGGCGAAGCCATTATCTGAGCACCAAGTCCGTATTTGCGTCGAATTGTTTACCATCCAGCTGGGCAGACAACAGTCGGATGAGGAGTAAGTCTTGATTAAGAACCCCGCCAATGTAGCCTTGAACAAGTCGAAGCTCTACATCGTCACTGGTCAGTGAATAAGGCGGATTGGGTCATGGGGGCAGTAGACGAACAATTCAGGTTGTGATTCCCTGCACGTCCTATAATCAACAGGCCAGGTCAACAATGCTCTCACTCGTGAAGCTTCAACTGTCTATTGGAGATGCATGATTACGTCGAATCGCTGAGGAAAAAAAAATATGCCCCTCCAAAACCTTTGATGCCGCAGTTGCCCCTCTTACTAACCATGGACTAGCGCCAGTAAGCAAGTAGTAAATGGTGGAGACGAGCCAATGCACCTTCCCTTGCTTGAACCAACTTTTGACGTTCGGCCTTGAGCCTCAACAACGTTGCATCTAGACTCGCTGGCGGGTGCACGACTTATAAATCCTTCCTTTTCACCAATTTTGAAGAAATCGGTCTTGTTCGTTTGTCTATTAGAACCACGTGTTGGGGATTGAACAATTCCGCATGATGCCCATCATTGTTCGTGGAAAACCAGAGTCTGGAGTCATCACCAATGGTGAGAAAAAAGGCCCAAATCCGCAGAAAATCCGCAGTCGAGCAGCTTCAACTTATAAAATTTTACAGCCGATGTCATAGCCTTATGGTTTTTGAGAAGCTTCAACGCCACCAAGAAGGTATTCTTCATTTCGACAATATGTGGTGTCGCGCGCTGCTCTTGCGACCGATTGATGTGCGCGGAGTTCATCGGTGGCCAAGCTCTCCGTTCAGATCGCGGAACAGAATCCATGTGATGCAAGTCATACTTGTGGACTGAGTCCTTCATGTGATTCTCATCTTCAGTTGGACGATCGAGGTTTACGTCAAGCTCAACACTATACACCGGATACCTCCTCTGGCGGGCCAAGTTCTGCATCCCGAGTTCGTCCTGACAGCAATCAACAGAACAATGCCATTGCCAACACGTCACGCGCAGAGTCGGTCTCTCTGATATATACTCATAGAGTAACATTTTATCTCGCATACCCCGGGTTTTTATCTCATCTGCCGAAGCGTTCTTCTCCGCGGGTGTACAAGTTGATAAGCTTCCCCAGGTCAGTCGGTTATCTTTGCAGTGTGGAGTCGCACTGGCGCCGGTGTCCAACTCGTCCAGATAAGGTCAGACCAACCAACATCACCGCTTTGAACACCCCTTTTCTGATAGGATAATTGTCCAATAGAATTCATTGGATCGGATATTCGCTCGAATCCGTCGATAACATGCCTGCAATGGCAAGTTCGATTAACATTTCAAACACCTTTGAGGGAGATAATTTTCATCACGTGAACCTTCCAAGCTACAGGAGACATTACCCGCCCCCTTTGAGGGTTACTTGGTCAATAAATAGGACCACGACTATGCGGTATTGTAAGACGTGTCTTTCTGATGAATTGAGCGGTGAATCAACGACAAGAGACCGCAAAAACGAAAAGAGATAGCATATGTAGGAGTATCAACAAAAATCTTTTTATTGTAAGTGTGTGATGCGGTTGGGATCTTGCCCGGGCTAGCTGGCTCATTTCTTATCAGTGGCCGCGACAATTGTCAGAACCCAAGCGTATCAGCGCCGCCAGAGGTAGTTGGGTACGATGTCGATCTGGGCGTACTGTACGATGGGCCTTGTTATCATATGTACCCTGAAAACGCCGGGTGTATCCGGCAATTGAATGAGACGGCCTTAACGCCCTAGTGTCGAAGGACTGGTCCATTCGCAGTCCCAACAAATCGGGACCCAAGATCTTTGCTGGTTGGCTATCGAATCTAGATAAGCATTCAGCCCGGAGATGCCTGGAGATGCTTAAATCGGACCCTGGCTGGATGTCTTTTTGAAGTTGATTATTATCGCAATGAACCAGAGTATTTAGAGGTCACGACGCCAACAACTCAAATCAATATCGTATCGAATAGCGAAATTCCACTGTAAGGTGATTTCGAGCACTGCTTTTCAAAGCTATTTGACAACTTTCCAAAAAATGGGCTTCAATATATCTTTGTTATGGAAGACCCCGATGGTCGACCCCATCAACAAGAAAGCTCGAAGTATACCTGTTCTGAACGTAGTTGATCCGTATGGACGAGTATTTTTCTTCTCTTGGATGGGGTTCATGCTTGGGTTTTGGGCATGGTACGATGACCTTTCTTTCCCTTACCTCTCTTTTTCCCTTCCTTCCAGGCTAATGTCGTCTGCACAGGTACACGTTTCCTCCATTGTTGACAGTCACGATTAAAAAGGACCTGCACCTCAGCGCCGCCGAGGTAGCCAACTCCAACATTGTATCCCTCTGTGCTACTCTACTTCTACGATTCGTCGCCGGACCCCTCTGCGACCAGTTCGGCTCCCGGAGAGTCTATGCCTCACTCCTCCTCCTGGGCTGTCTACCGGTCGGCCTCGCGCCCCTCGTCAAGACCGCCAACGGCCTCTACGTCTCCCGATTCTTCATTGGTATTCTCGGAGCCACGTTTGTCCCATGCCAAGTCTGGTGCACCGGCTTCTTCGACAAGAACATTGTCGGCACGGCCAATGCTCTCTCTGGAGGATGGGGCAACGCCGGCGGCGGCATCACCTACTTCATCATGCCGGCCGTCTTCGACTCCCTGGTTGCTTCCCAGGGCATGGCTCCGTCCAAGGCATGGCGAGTCACCTTTGTTGTCCCCCTCATTTGCCTGATCGCCTGTGCTCTCGGCATGCTATTCCTCTGCCCGGACACCCCCCTGGGCAGCTGGGAAGAGAGGTCGCAAAAGCTCCAAGAAAACCTGGACCAATACAGCCCCACGAGCACCACGGCCGTCAACACGCCTCACATCCTCAGCGAGCCGCCGAGTCGAGACGTAGAAAAGGCGGAAGAATTCGACGAAGACTCGAAATTCTACAAGCAACCGTCTGCCATCTCCTTGTCGGAAGCCGTGGCCATTGCCCAGGCGGAAACCGTGGTCAAGCCCAGCTTCAAGGACTCTCTACCCGTCATGCTCTCCCTACAGACCCTCTTCCATGTCGCCACGTACTCGTGTTCATTCGGCGGCGAGCTGGCCGTCAACTCCATCCTCAGCTCCTACTACAAGGCCAACTTTCCACACTTGGACCAGACCAAAGCCAGCAACTACGCCGCCATCTTCGGCTTCCTCAACTTTGTCACACGGCCGCTCGGCGGCGTCGTGGCAGACATCCTGTACAGAATGTCCGGACAAAACCTGTGGACGAAAAAGGCCTGGATCACCATGGCCGGCCTCCTGAGCGGGGCGTTGCTCATCATCGTTGGAAAGGTTGATCCTTCGGAAGCCAATGGCCGCGACATCGGCACAATGGTAGGCCTCGTCACCGTCGCCGCCTTCTTCATAGAGGCAGGCAACGGTGCCAATTTCGCCCTCGTGCCTCACGTCTATCCTGCCGCCAACGGCGTCTTATCCGGGTGCACCGGCGGCGGCGGCAACCTGGGCGGCGTGGTATTCGCCATCATCTTCAGGTTCATCGATCACGGCAGCGGCTACGCCACTGCCTGCTGGGTCATCGGCGTCATTCATATTGCCGTCAACTTGGCAGTCTGTCGGATTCCGCCGCTGCCAAAGGGCCAAGTCGGCGGGCAGTAAGCATACTCTCAGTCAGGGTCCCAAAATCGCATCATGTATATATTGGATTTGAAAGTTTTCACCTAGCGAGTAGCGAGTTTTCATTGGCCTGGGCCATTTCTTCCAAACAATGCCATTTTCTTTTTTTTTAATTCTTCTATTTTTTTTCCAGCGTTGCCTGCTTGCAGTGCTCTTGACTCGTCAAACGTCACTCGGTCTCAAGCATTCAGTCGCCTGACCAACCCCCCCAACGTGACGAAGGTCAGACACACTGTCCTCACGTGCTGAGACAAATAACCGAACAATGGTGAACTCTTCCCGCCTTGTCGCAGCCCTTGGCTTGTGAACTGCCTTGTGAAACACAGCCGATCCCGAGTGCCACCCCGCCAAAAGGCGTTTGCAGATCCGATACAGAGCCAAGCCTTGATCGCCGAGATCTCTCCTTAACTGCGAATTGGCTTGCGGAGACTCAATCAGTTAGCGCGTTGTGAGGCAAGAGGGAAACTCCACAAGCCATTTTGCAGTTAAAGAGATGTTTGTTTGGGCTCGGCCCTGTAACCAGCCGTGTGCAATCTGACATTGGACTTGACGCTTAGAATGGGCTTCCGCCGGCCGTTTCTCCCGTGACTGTACTCCGTACGTACGTATGTGCGTATGTACTCGGGAAATTACACTTGCTTGTCAGAATATTGGATGAAACCCTAGCACGAGCCAAGAGCGGGTCTTCCTGACACCTGTTTGTCTCTGCATCACCCACAGACATGTCTTACATTCCAGCGCGGTGTAGCACTAGTACTCCGTACTGATCATGAATAACATGGTCAGGCGAGGCCGATGGCAACTGGGTCAAGGTTGATTGAGGCTGAACGTATGTAGTCAAAGTCGCACGCTTTGCGTAACTACGGCAGGGCGTAGCTGACGAAATGGATAAGACAGTACACCGTAGATTCCATGTGGGATTCAGAGACACACAACACTAGAGGGGCTCTTAAAGATGCACGCAGTGGTCAATTAATGTGATGAAATTGTGTGTACGTAGCACCTCGATCCGGGCTTAGCATTAACGGAAACGTTCATCAAGCCATCAACTAATGTAGCCAAACAGAATGGGTTCCGCGCATCACTAGCAAGAATGACCCGAAACTTTCCAATCAGTGCCAATATCAACCCATGTACCGGTGCCCATTAGCAGAGCGCACCATGTATCGTATCGTATATGTGTAAGAGAAGCCCACGACCAGATTTAAAAAAAAAAAAACACGCGTAACCACCCACTGTTACCGATTCTTTGCTTACAGAGCAAGAACGGCGGCAACAACGCCCAGAATGGTGAGTGAGCCGACGCGAACGGCGTTGGCAGCAGCAGTAGGGGTAGCAATAGTACTGGGAGCAGTGGTAGTGGGCTTGAAAACAGCAGTGCTGGAAATGACAACGGGAGCAGACTGGCTGGATGAGGTCTTGAAAACCAAAGTGGTGGTGGTGTTGGCAGGAAGGGTGGTGTTGTACTTGGTGGTCTTGGACTGAGTGCTGGTTGTGGCGGGAGCAGAAGTCGTCGCGACGGAAGTGCTGGCGGCGGCAGTGCTAGTGACTGGAGTGCTGGTAGTAGACAAAGTCACAGTCTTGGTGCCGTAAGACGTGGTAATGGTGATGCTGCCGCTCGAGCTGCCAGAGGGCTGGCTGCCAGATGCCTTGATATGGAAAGGGTTGGAGTACTGGAAGATGGTGTCGGGCTGGCTCTCGAGGCGGAAGACAAGACCATATACAGCCTTGTCACCGAGAGAAGCGCCGACCGTCCATGTGTAGGTCTTGGCGCTGTTCTTGACACCGGCTATAACATCGTGTTAGGAAACAGTCTCGTCTTGGCCATGTCGATCATTGTCATTTTGCGCCAACTTACAAGCGATATCAGCAAGCTTGACCTGAGTATTCTGGGTAGCGCCACCGATCAGCTCAATTTTGACGGTACCATCAAGGTATTTGGCGGGAGCGTCCCAGGTGATAGTATAAGGAGAGCCAGCAACAATAGTCTCGCCAGACTTGGGGGTGTAGATGGGGTCGAAGTCGGCGGCCTGGGCAAAGGCAGTGGCGGCAAAAGCCAGAACAGCGGCGACAGAGAAACGCATGTTGATGGGTCAACAAATACAAACGTATTATGTCAAATGTCGAGAGGTCAAATATTGACCGGAGCGAAAGAGCGACTGGGAGAGTGTTTTAAAGAGCGTGGGTGGCACAAAGATGCCTAGATAAAGGAGCGACAGTGGTTGAAGAAAGGAAGGTGCGAGTCGTGACCGAAACGAAGAGGTGAAGTGCAATAATAGTTTGGGGAGGCACTGGGGTATTCTCCGTCGCAGCACGTAGTCGACATCAAGCTTGTTGGCCGTGGACCCATAGGTTGACGGGGCGTGCCTTGCCAACAATGGCGCCCGACCGTTGGTTCCTGGACCATTTCATCAGCGGGCTTGCTCGGTGGCTGCTGATTCGGGAGTGCCACCAGACATAGGCAGCAGGCACCACCCGCTGCACCACCCACCCACAGCACGTCAAGTCATGACGGTTCTTGGCGGGCCAAAAATGTCACTGGGGTGGAGCCCGTGTCAGGGGAAAAGCAAATTACACCCAAGAATGGGGGCCTGCTATTGGCCAGTGCAGGGCCTGCGCGGGGCTGAGCATGCATCCTTTGACGGGTTGGTAGTGGCAGTCAAGGGTCGCGCGATTGACATCGTGGGTTCTGAAGAAAGAAGCTAGTCTGCATGGCGAAGTGGCCGAGCTGCAGCTAATAACGAGGAGATGAAGAAGGGAGACGGGGAAGAAAAAATCATCGTACAATGCCCTTGGCCCCTCAGCCGCTGTGGAAACTGTTTGCAGCTCATCCTCTAATAGTATTACAATGCTGCGATGCTACAATGGCCAAGTGGATAGTTGCCATTTCCCATATATTATCTTCTCCCTGCTCATGCAAGCCTTCTGCCAGCTTTGCGCCAGTTCATGGCAAAGTCTCGCAATTTCCTGTTCCCCCAAATAGCATACCGCCGGCTGCGGACTCCCTGGGCCGGTGTGGGATGTCGCAATAATATAATACATGGTAAGCATGCTCGAGGGCGCAAGCCGCTGTCCAGGACTCCAGGCACTACCCAAAGCGGCGCGGGAATAGTCGACGCCCTCATGCCATGGACTTTCAGCCGCAAACGCCAGCGGCAAACCCCTGGGCCCATGGGTAGTAATTGCGTGCTCTCCCATCTGAATGGCGGCGGCAGTGCTTGTCACGCCGGCAGGACAATATTGAATTTACCCATGCCGCGTTGAAGACAATTCACCAGTCAGCCCTAAACTCAGTCGACAAAGAGACGATGTTGTTGAGTTGCTTTTCGTCAAAAAAGATGAGCGCAATTAACATGCAGCATGGCGCGATTCGAACAGGGGGAACCTGGCATCTTTATCGACTGCATTCAGGTAAATTGACCACACGCACCCACGAGTCTGAGTCGGCGACCCAAGCCCATCGTCTGTTGCCGGGAGGAGGCCATGTTACGGATAAATCAGTGTTCCCTCTGTGTACTCCGTATTCCGTAAATATTTGACCGTCAGATCAAGCCATTGATGTCTTGGAGGCTTGGCCGTGAATCCCCCTTAATTACCAGGAAATGATGCCATTGAGGATACTTGTTCTCATCTGTCTATTTAGGAAGATGAGAAATAAAGTCAACGGCGTACTAGTTGACATGTTGAGCTACGTACCAGCAGGGCTGAGCACACGATATCTGGGCAGCTGGATACCGTTGTGCTTGGATGCTCAGGCCATGATCTCTTCCATTCCCCGCCAGTCCGAGCGCTGGTGTGACAGCGTCGACGATAAAAAGAGACGACGTGGTCGCAGGTGTGTCCAGGCCCATGCTAGAAACAGTAAACAGATGTGAAGCCTGGACGGTGTGAACTTGGTTACACCGCGGCTGAGAACAAGTACTACGTACCAGTTGACAGCTTGTCGTTGGTGTAATTGCGCCGTGACTTTATGGGTGGGCGTGGGCTCGTAGGGCAGTACAGTTAGGTAGACGCACGAAATCTTCAAATGCTTGGCGCACGTGTGACGTAGAATCTCTTTGATGTGCTCGCGAGCTTGCGGGGACGCTCTCGAATTAGATACTAGTATCTGGTAAATACTACGGCCTGATTGGCTCCTTGCCCCAGACTGTCTTCTCTGCAGTTCACGAGCATTCAAGAGATACGTTGACATGAAATATGCACACGAACGGCGGCACTGAGCAGCTCGAGAGCCGCAAATACCTGGGTTATAATTGTTCGCCTCTGCATACCGTCACTCGAGGCTCAAACTGCCAGAGTTCTCTTTCTGCGCAGATATCCCAATGTTCCATGGGTATAGGGTACCCCTCATCACTGGTGAGGTTGAAGCTGTCGCTCACGCTTAGAACAAACACACGTGGTGTACCTCGCTCAGCCAATTAGACTAGACCGCCACCGCCCCCACAATAATCTCGAGCCTTACGAGCACCTGCCCTTGATCCTCAGCCTTGTCCCTACCAAAGCAGCCCAACCTCAGCAATGGATTCGGCAGACGATCTCACGCCCGGTACGCCTCCTATCAAGCGGCGCAAGACTCACGACGACTCATCGCAGCGGTCGAGTTCGCGGGGCACGTCCCCCAACGCCAGGAAACACTCAGAGCCCAGGTCCCGGGGGCCTCGCGACCCCTCACAATTCAGGTACGACGTGACGAGAAGCCCCAGTGCTGCAGGCTCAAACAAGCGCTATTCGTCGCGATCTCGCTCAAGAAGACGGTCGAGATCCATCTCCAGCTCAGGGTCAAGCACGCGCTCAGAGTCACCGCCTCTTTCCCGGACGCGTTCTCGCCGGCGGTCCGGGTCACACACGTCCTCTGACCGCACGCGAACCGAGTCCTACTCGCCCCGGCCGCGACAGCACACACCTGCTCGGGAGCCCTCGAAACCCAACTACAGACCACGTCTAGTGCTCCACGGCCACACGGGCCCTGTTTCGCAGGTGAGGATATCGCCCAATGGCAAATTCATCGCTTCAGCGTCCGCGGACGGGACCTTGAAACTGTGGGATGCGGCCACGGGCGCGCACATGGACACGCTGGTCGGCCACATGGCCGGCGTGAGCTGTGTCGCTTGGACGCCGGATAGCAACACTCTGGCGAGCGGTTCCGACGACAAGGCCATCCGCCTGTGGGATCGCGTGACGGGACGACCGAAAACGACGACCCGCAAAGCAATCGCGGGTCAGGAAATGGCCGCGCTGCGCGGACATCACAACTACATCCACTGCCTGGCGTTCTCGCCCAAAGGGAACATCCTCGCCAGCGGGTCATATGACGAAGCTGTGTTCTTGTGGGACGTCAGGGCGGGACGGCTAATGAGAAGCTTACCAGCTCACAGCGATCCCGTCAGTGGGATCGACTTTTGTCGAGACGGCACACTGGTCGTGAGCTGTTCGACGGATGGGCTAATGTAGGCACGCCTCATTGACATTGATACCACCGATGGACCAGAGCTAACGAATCCCAGTCGAGTATGGGACACCTCGACCGGACAGTGTCTCCGAACGCTCGTGCATGAAGACAACCCCGCCGTCACAAACGTCTGCTTCTCGCCCAACGGCCGCTTCGTCCTGGCCTTTAATCTCGACAACTGCATACGTCTATGGGACTATGTGGCTGGGACCGTGAAAAAGACCTACCAGGGCCACCGGAACGAGAAATTCGCCATAGGTGGCTGCTTTGGTGTTTTGGACGGCGAACCTTTCATCGCATCTGCAAGCGAAGACGGTGATGTGATACTGTGGAATGTGAGGAACAAGGAGATACTACAGAGGGTTTCCACGGGTCACAAAGGTGTTTGTTTCTGGGTCGATGTCAATGGCGAAATATTGGCGAGTGCGGGACAGGACCACACTATTAGGGTGTACAAACACGTAAGGGAGGGCGGCGTCACAAATGGGAGTATGAGGTCCGAGGTGGAGATGGCGAACAACTTGCAGGGTGAGCTGCCTATTCGGCAGGAGGATATCAAGTTGGAGGATGCATGAAACGATTATGAAAATTATTGGCAAGCCATGAAATCTTTTTGATCTTTGTCAAGAGCAAGTATATGGCCCTTGTGTCTCTGGTAGCAATTGCGTAAGTTGTGTAAACCTGACTTCTCAATATCCACGTCTCATGCCCTCATTTGTTACCAAGCCGCTACTGCAAAAAGGGAAAAAACCGATAATGTGTATCCTCCATTAACGCTGGTCCATTACTCTCGTGAATGATAGACCTGAAACCCACCTTGTGTTGGTTCCCGCCAACTTGTCATGGTCTCCTTAATGCCACATCCGTTGCTTAATGGCGGACCGCCAGAGCTTCGGGTCGAATCAGGTGTATTCTACTTGAACACTGTGCTGCGCGACTCGTTCTCCGTTATGGTATACCGCGAAATCAACGGAGGTACCGTCGCAGGTCATTTCTATTTCAAAATCTAGGATGCGATAGGGCTCTCCGTGACGGTTGATTCCAATTGGTAAAGTGTGTCGTTTTATAGTCTTACTCCAGTTGACCGCGCACAATACAGATACCGACTGATCTGCTCTTGAAGGTGGTTCTGAAGAAGCCGATACGTGGAATTCCTGAGAAACTTGGCCAATGGCGCCTTTGAATATGTGACAGAACCTGTGTCGTTTTGATGTGGTGGCTGATAAGTCCTGGCCCTAATAAATGTTAGCTGAGGGAATCTGAATTGTTTGGCGTGGCGGGAAATGGTCCAAGTATCAGGGCAGATTTGAAATGGGGTTGTGCGAATTGCAGTCCATACCTTTCGTAATAACCAGTGCATTTGGTTATCTGCCCGCGGTTCCAATGTACAAGGATCAATGAACCAGTCTTCAGCAGAGTGGAATTTAGGGTTGAAAGGAAGCGAGACTCTGATGCCGTAACTCATCCTAGCTATCCTGGTTTCAACTTTCACGTCGAGGCATTTAGACAAGCCCAAGGATGTGATTGCATGAATCACTGCTCCACGACATATTGCGACCCAGCTGATAAACATCGTTAGTAAATGTTCGCGAGTAAAATGTGAATGAATTTGAACTAATTTAATGTAGTAATAAAACAACTTACGGTTTAGAACCTCGGGATTGAAGGACCGTAGTGTTCTCTCCAACTAACAACTTGAGTCGCTCAAATAGGTATGGGCTTCGTCCAAACCCACCGACAAGAATTACAAACTAATGTTCATGTTTAGAATATATTGGAACAGAGAGTTAGGGTTATTTTGTATTCTTGTCAGTGTCATACCTTCGGTTCTCTTCCATACTTCCCCACGATAGACATTGATTGATGAGTGACAAGCGACTCAACCTTGCCAACAATTGGGCTGAATACGTCAATTAGCTCGGAACTATTCATGATATTAGCTTATATTCTGGGTAAAAACAGAGTACCTCACAAACTAACGTGCTGATTTCCAGCGTTGACGGTCTCTTTTTGCCTTTCCCTTTTGCAAGCACCGAGTTGGGAAGTTCAACACCCCAGGAACGATTCTGACCTCGGAATTGTGGTTTAATGCCGTGCTCCCAATTGTCGTTGAGAAACTTCTTGATCTGTCCCTTGCCTATATTGGATAGAGAACTAGAGGTTCTTGACATTATAAGCTTCTTGAATTCTTCGTCTAGGAATATCCCACCACATAAGCCACCTGGAAGCGCACTTTGTTAGACAAGCATTATTTTCGTAGTTAGTTGCGACGATTAATTTCCATTCCATTACTTGCCTTGTCCTTGAACGCATTCTTTCAAGACAAATGGTTCTTTGCTTTCCACTCGATAGCTAATGAGATCCTGCTTCACGTATGAGATTCAAGAATTGGGAGAGACGTCGACGTCAAACACTGCGTAGCCTACCACTGTGCCACCCCCCGCATCACAAACCACAATGTGATCCCCCGACTGGAGAAAGAAAAAATGAGCATATAACTAAGATTTGGATGGCTTAATAGAAGACTTATCACTCACCTGGATAGTTGATTTCTTGGAATGATCTTTAATTGTAGCCAGCGCCGCTGCCTCCGGTTCCGAGACGAACTTTAGAGTTGTCTCGCCAGCGTACCTTTTCCTGAAGAACCCGGCTTTTTCAGCGGCATTTCTCATCTTTTCTTGAGCATAATGGGGCCAAATAGCAGGTAGCGTCATCACAACATGTAAACGGCACTTTTCAAGCAGGTTGTCACCGTTCGCTTCCTTGATGGATCGCAATGCGTGCTTCCAAAGCCGGGTTAGGAAACATGCTACAATATCGACGACGTCTCTCTTGGATAATTCCTGGAGGCGACGGGCCTCATCCAGTTTGGGCGAGTGGCGCACATCCAAGGGTAGATCTTTCTCTTTGAGCAGAAGCAATTTGAACCATTCAAGGGCTTCTCCGTTTTCAGGAATGTTATACCCCCATTTGATATTGCCATCACCTTTGCCGAAATAAAGATGAGTTGGTGTTTTTTCGAGGTCCGAACAATGATTAAGCTCAGACTCCCATGTAGTCACTACCTCGATATCCTCGGGCTCATTTGAGTATGCCCATGCCACACCAGAGTATCTGTCATGACAGTCAGAGGCGTCCGATCAGTAAATATTGATGAACAAGATGCGCATTAAGAATCTTACGTGGTGCCAAAGTCGATTCCGATGATAATGTATTCATCCATGATGCAACCTGATGATGGCGGATAGAAGTACGGTAAGGGACGCAACCTTGCAAGGTATTCGAAGGCTGGATGATGTGCGAGGAGAGGGAGAGGGATTTAGTTCCAAGGAGCAAGAGTTGTGTGCAGGTTACCCAAGTGTGTATCTAGGTAGGTACCTAGGTATGTAGTTGAGTTGTGAGAAGACTCAGTTTCAATTCACTCGTTTGGTCGGAGCGCGGTAGGTTCACCCACAGAGCTTGCCAGTTGGTGACAGTTGCTCACGGCTTCTTGTTTCTCATATTCGGGCGCCGGCTGGGTCGTAGCTTTCAACGTTTTAGTCCTGGCAACTAAGCACGCCAAGCCCACCAACAATTCTTGAGTCGTTCGCTAACTATATGACCAATGATTGGTATGGGCCTCGAATTGAATCGTCTATTAGAGCAACCTCGACGGTGGCTCCCAAGGAGGAACTACGAATCAAATTCTGTCCCATTAACTCTTGAAATGGACCAGCCACTTGAAACGGAGTATTGCAACCCAGAGCACCCAGAAGAAGTCAAACTGATTTCTTGCGGCTCCTCGGGGACAGAGGAGCCCCCTCCGCTTATACCATCGGCATCACCTTGCAATGAGCCCATCATGGGCGAACTGCCTCTTTGGCAAAATTCATCCCACCTGGGTACTGTTCAAACTTCAGGAACTCCATGGAGCCTCAAATGCGACGAAGCACCCTGCGGGAATCATGATATGCTCTCAACACCAATGGGAACTGAGCGAACTGATAATCAGCTGTATCAACGCAGAGTCCCCATGTTTGAATGGCTAATTGATGAGACCAGATCTGAGTTCAAATGGTATGAGAGTGTATATAGCAGCCTGAGCGACGAGGTCCTGAGTCAAAGAAAAGAAATTCGCAGCCTCAGGAAGCAAAACGCGGACTTGTGCGCAGAGAATGACAATCTGAGGTTAGAAAATCATCGAACTAGGGAGATCCTTCGTGTGGTCCAAGAGCACGCGGAAAAAGCAGTCAAATGGGGCACAAACGCGAAGCCGCGAGCGAACGGAAATAAGATACCAGATTGTGAATTCAAGTCAAAATGGAGACAACTCAAGTTTAATGTGAGAATGCTCTCTGCGCATATACTTGACAATAATCCTGCTGTTACCTTACAAGCGAGGGATTTCGCCACAATTATGAAATCTTTCAGAAACAGTAAAGGGAATGAGTTACATGACAGTTCCTCATTCCAGGAATTCCAGGAGCCAGGCACTAGACGACGTGTCCTGGAAGCATATCTCTGGAATTTCATCTCGGAAGTAGTTTTTGACTCGAAAAGCAGAATTGATGCCGCTAAAACGGGGAGAACCTTCAAGAGGCATAGAAAAGAATATGCCAGTAAGTACTTGGCATTCACTAGGGTACGGTATTTTGGGTATTAATATGCATTCTTTTTAAACAGAGTTGAAAATTGGAGATTCGTCTCAAATCGCGGCTGTCTATGACTGGTTACAGTCAGGCTGGCCTATCGCAAAGCCCGTAACACCCGACTCTGTCAATGAGCTCTTACGAAAGGACTGTGAAAAAATTTACCAAATGATTCATGGCAAGGATGGCAGAGAGCGCTCAGACAGTCGGGCAGAGTCACGCGAAGAGCTCCGAGATATACTCTCTCTCGCTTTGGAGCTGGATGATATGATCATGACCTCACGAGCCATGGTTACCGTGGTATGGCCCAATGAGATACCCGAGCTTAATGCTGGGATTCACACAGCCTATTGCGAATCTTATATGGAGCTGGTAGAGGGAGATAGAGAGCCCGGAGAGAACGTGGGATTGACGTTAAGCGTTACCCCTATACTTTTGAAGAAAGGGAATGCGAGAGGGACGAACTACGAGTCTCAGATTGTGCTTGTTAAGGGTGATGTTGTTGTGGCTAATGGGTCTAGTCAAGGGAGTGCAGAACCTGTTCAGACTCAGGAAGGTACCATACAGTGAGCTCCTCTGGATTTGATGATTTTCGTTGTGTTTTTGCGAAATTGGGATCTGGGTTGTGATTATGGGCATGAATTAGTATGTTCACATGAGAACAACTATTCGCCCGCGGGAGGGAATGGTATAATGGAGCTGCCCGGATACTTGACTGCATTTTTGCACAGAGATATAATCTGCCATAGCTGATGAGGCCAAAAAAAAAACACGCCCTATACCTCATGGCGCGGCCAAGGTCGCATGCCACAGAACACACGAGATTCGGAAGTAGTGAAGAAGTGAACGCGCTGCATTAGATGCAACGCGAGCCACACCCCAAACCTGCCGGATATGCCCCTCCAATAGCCAAAGGGGGCAACTATTTTGAGCAAGGATAACAGGTTCGTCTCATTGGCCATTTACAGTTAACGCGGCTGAATGAAATGGAAGATAGAGCAGTGGCTGCTTCCTAGACGAAACATGACACCGACATTGTAGGCAGGCTCTGAATATGGGAACAATAAGGGCTGATTTGCTCCGCATGCTGCTGCTAAAACATGTTTGACACGAATACTTCGTAGGGCGTTGCGGCCCGAGACAGGGTGTTTGTCACGACCGTGTTACAGGGTCGAATTTATGCTAATACAGTACATTCTAGTGTTCTGCCCTGGTGTAGAGAAGGGATTCTTGCAGTGTTCAAATGCTGCTCTTTGACTGGTGGTGAAACTTGGGTGCAGTAGGGTGTATGTTTCTTGTAGATATTGTGGTGTATGGTAATGGGATGGAAAATATCAGAAGCCAGGACTAGGCAATACGGAGCAGTGAAAACGCCTTAAATTTCTGAATCCAGTAACGAACGCAGACTATTGAATCAGGACGATTGGGCTGGTGGTCCAATGATTCGTAGGAGCAGGAGAATACGCCGTGGAACCGTTCGATGGACGGTGTGGACGGCAAACGCAGTAGATCTAGAGCGAGTCAGGAACCCACTGGCTCACCCAGGCCCAACCGCACAGTGACAAGACTGATTGGCCGGGACCGATTGCTGGAGAGATGGTGGGATGGGTGGCTCAAGAGGCGCAAAGCATGTTTGGGCGAGAAGATGAGGCACTAACGGCGTCAAGAGCAAAGGCGTGTGTCGTGCCTTGGATGAGATCCAATACATCCAGTGGACCACAGAAGTTCGTCGAGGTCCACGAGATTAGAAACAGCGACTGAGAGACCGCGTAGATAAGAAATGTCGGCTGGTGCTTGGAGACGAGGACGATCAGCACCCACAGTCTCCATCTCGGGAGGGCCACATGGGCTAGAAGCTGGGGAACGACACGCTAGGAGGGGTAGTCGACATCGCAAGGCTGTTGGCCAGGTCAAAGACGTGTCATTGGTCCATAATAGATGTATACACGTGTCTGAGCTCTGCGGTGTTGCCGACGCCTTTGTTTGTCATGACCGAGTGTCCAGGTTCGGATCTTCATGAGTGTCCGTGATGTTTGCCACTTCTTCCTTCTATTGGTTTCCCGCGTAAGCCCTAGTTCAGCCGCGGTGCTTTGTCACGTCCTCGTTTCGCAAGTCCAACAGAGCCTCGGAGTAATCGTGCGTTGGTGCGTGCGTACGGACGGTGGGACATGCGGAAGAGGACCCTTGGGATCTGCGAACCATCTATGTACGGAGTACTAGTTAGTACTCCATGCTGCGTGGTCATTCAGGAACCCTGCAAAATTGATGACAATCAATGTTGGCGAATTCAAATTGAACAGAATGGCGTAATTCAAACGCGGTGATTGAGTAGCATTCACTCGGCACAAATGAAACAATTCCAAGAGCAGTGCTGATGCATGGGGCGCCTATTGACGCCCAGACGCCCAGACGCCTTTTATGGACGGAAGGGAGTGCAAGACCCCGCGGCGAACACTAGCCCGTTCTTTCCCCCACAAGACGAACAGAGGGAAGGAGCGCATGTCACCTGCTGGTCAAGGCAGCATACGCGGTCACCGTCGCGTCTCTCACTCACCCACGCACACCTTTGACAACGTTCACAGGCTTTAGGTCCGATTCGCTCTCACGTCAACTCGGTTTTCAACCCGTACGGAGTCCATAAGGACGAGTGCACTCGCGACTTAGCGATTTGTCGGGCCGGCCAATCAATCAGACTCAACAACTACCTCGCTTGACCCCCCTGTTTGTCAGTCTTGCAGCCTTGGACCATATTTGTCGCAACAAGTGGCATCAGCCTCAGCACCGGTAGCAGCACCTCAGCGTCTGTGCCAGACTAGATTTTTGGCATTGCAGCCGAGACACCAAGCAGACCCAGCCCAACTACTGTTACGTCTCGTCGTCGATTTCGCGACGCTGTCAGTGGCAGAAAGCTGGAAGACGTCCCGAACAACTGAGACTGAACGGAACAGCCCAAATCCGCCCTCTAGTGTTTATTTTTGGCCCATAACCTGCCCCAGAGCTCAATTGCCCACGACAGGAATGTTCCGCGGCCCACCAACAAGGTTGCATAGCACACGAATCGCACGAATCTAAAGCTGACTCGGATGGTCTGGGCTGAGCCAAACTTTACTGGCTGTCTGCATCCTGGCGGCGTCGGATTGTTTTGCTGGTTCATCAGGGGAACATAAGCCATCACCACACCTCTTGGTTGTTCTTGTTTTCACTCCGCGCCACTTACTTTATCTTTTGACCTTTATATTCTGTCTTTGCTGCTGCCGCCGCCTGTCTTGGTCTGCTTGGCATTGTCCGTTTCGTCAGCGCGAGCGTTGTGAAGAAGATCCACCAACCAACTCAACTACTTAAAACCGCCAGCGTCCACCCTCGTGCCCCAGTTGCAGGGTCGCGCTTGTCACTCCAACCGGCTCCGACTCCTGCGTTCCTGGCGACCGCGACCTGCACTTCCTGGAGCAACAACAAGCGACTTCCCGACTCCTCTTCTTGACGCTACAGAAAACATTTCCCCCTCCTCCTGTCCCTAAAGACTGACATATATCTTTTGCTAGCCACGCTAGCTTGCCCTGACGCGCATGCAGTTTCTCCTAACCAGAACTCATGGAGCCCGTTCCTGAGACGGAGCGTATGGAGGCGTTCAAGTCCTCACCTGTGCCCTCCCTTCGTCTTAGTAGCAATCCGAACGCTATTCCACCGTTGGACCTGGACATGGTCAGAAAACCGCCCACCATACGTCGCAGTACCGACCCGAATCCAACCTCGCCAGTTTCGCCATCATGGAGTCCGTCACCTTCTGTTGCCTTGCCATATAGACCACGAACTGCATCCCCTCTATCAGGAGGCCATTCACGCTCGCGGTCTGCCGCTAGCCTCGCTTCTCCCATGTCACGAACCCAGTCTATGCCTGGAGTCAGCGGCTCGGGGCGTATTTTGTACTCACCCGGGTTACGACCCGCAAGTCCCTCCAACTCTGGCTCCCCAAGTCGTGTTCGAACGCCGAAAAAGCCTGTCGATGAAGCTTTCCCCGCGACATCCCCGGTCCGGACGAGTGTTCTCGAACAAGACAAGAAGCAACCCGACCGAAGCAGCTCACCGGTTCTTGGAGGAGCAATTGTGTCATCGAGTCGACTTAGGAGATCCTCGTCTCCTTTTCGAAGTGTGCCACCGCCGAGTTCCAGCGCTCTTTCCTTGCTACCCTCGCCACCGTCTTCTGTTTCGTCAGCTTCCTCTTTACGAGGCTACGATGCTCTGTCGGCCAGTTATGGGGGCAGCCTATCTTCCATCCCATCTACACCAACGTCAGCTCGATCACGCAGCCCCAGCATCTCAAGTTTGGAAACCATTCCTGACTCCCCGGATGCAGAAGAGGCCGCCTTGGAAGCTGAGAAATCAACTCAGCTGAAGGTTGCCGCAGAAGGAGCGGATGGCGGCGATTCGTCCGACTCTAAAGGTCGACCACCTATGGACGCACCTCCAAGGGGCAGAACTCTTAGCTATGGACCGAGGGACAAACGCAAGCGATGGAGTGTCTGTGGAGCCGAACGGCGCGGCGATTTAGATCTGGAGACAATTTGGGAGGACTAAGGACATCAAATGAATCGTGAATGGCATCACGGCGTTGCATGATACACACAACAGAGCAAGGCGAGCTTTCTTTGCATTACCCGATATGAATCATTATGAACAGCGGAAGGGTTTTTCCCCTATGGCTTGCACAGGCTTGGTGGTTTTTTTTTTTTTTTGGCGTCATTGTTATGTTTCTTTTTGACTGGGCCCGTCCATTTTGGTGAGGGCGTGTTTGGAGGGCTTAGTACGTCACCTTGTCTTTGATACCCAACGCATTCACGCGATTGCATGGTGTGGCTGGTGGAGGAAGATGGGAAGGGAACTCATGATGTGTGTAGAATATGCGAGAAGGGAAGGTCTCGCAGGTGTTTTTAAGAGACCATAGTTGTTAAATACGGCGCGCAGACGTCGATTTGCAGGTAGAGCAGGCTCTTTTTCGGACCGAAGACCGTGCACCTCTTAGAAACTAAATCAAGGATAACTGTTGAATGGACTCGCCATAGCTACGCACTCCGACGATGTTCCTACAGGCTGGTTATTGATTGCTACATAGATGACGCTGAGGTGGTGGATGTGGTTCGGTTCAAGCTGTGCACAACTCATTAATTGCCCCTGTAGCTGCAGTACGCAAACTCATGTACGATACATTGACGAGGGTCCTCCCGAGTCCGCATGGAAATGAGACATGGATATCATCGGTCTGCGCCGGCGCCATTTCAGCTGCTAGAAATTTGGCCTTGGTGCAAACGGCCAACGCGGCCTATACGACAAATGGTGTGTGAAGTCGCAAAAACAGTCTCAAATGTAGGTCGTGGATGTAGTACTTGTATTAGCTATTTCCACGGGCTAAGCTATTCTGTCTAGTGGCACGTACAGGGAGGAAGTGTAATACCAGACGCTTAGGGTAGCCATGATAGTCCTAAAGAAGGGTTTCCATGTCAGGTTTTTAGTGTGCATTGTCGTAAAGGATTTCTCTCAAGAAATCGTGACCACAATCCCCATCCAATGCTGATTCTCGATTTCATCAACGCAAAAAAAAAAAAAAAAAAAAAAAAAAAAAAAAAAAAAAAAAAAAAAAAAAAAAAAAAAAAAAAAAAAAAAAAAAAAAAAAAAAAAAGAGCGCTCTCCCACAGCCCCAACTCCC